TTAGAAATAGGAACCCACTTCCTTTTTTTATATTTTCAATAAATTTAAGTGCTGCAATCACTGCCCATTCGCCTTCCAAGCTGTTAATGTTGCATCAACTATCTGTCATCTGTCATCTAGCTTGCCAAGCATCCCAGACAGGGAGTTTTGAACAATGTGCATACTGGAGCTTGGTTGATAAAAATACAGATTTTCATGAAGCAGAATTTGATTTTATATCAAAGTTAGAGGAGCATATCTCTGACATATATTAATCATCATAACTATTTTAATCATTGCTCAGTGCATTGGGATAAAGTGTGTGGAATAAAGTTGCATTGATTTATCGACTTGTTTATTTATTTTGTTACTGCTGCTGGGGATGGATGCTGGGGCCTTACATAATAGGCAAGCACAGACTTAGAGAACCACCTCCTTTAGCCCTGAATCCTCTTTGCTTGGGTTGAAATGCTTCCTCTCTAATGTTTGTATCAATGTGAGGTAAACGTCAATGTTTTTATGTTCTTTCACAGTCCTACTGACATTTTCTTATTTCAGCTTAGACAGATACCTTAACTCGGAGCAGAGCTTGTCAACTGTGCTCACATAGTAAATGGCAGAGAGGTAAGGTATTGATTGCCCCAGTTCCCAGGTGGGACCTGAATGCAATGGGAACTCTCATATCTATCAACAGTGAGGCAAAGCCTCTTCATTCTAACTTGACTCAGATCCTATGCTGAAGTGTTAAACTATGACAAAAGACAGATAGCAAGGCTACCAAAGACAGAAAAAGTTTTCCTGAATAATGAATACATGTCTGCACATATGTGAAGTACATAGCTGATCTTTGACCAATATGTGCTTACAATGATAAACTTCTGATTGTCCCATATGATGATGATTTATAGTCTGCCCTAATAAAATACATCAAGTATAACTGCGTTATCAGAAATCATTTATGAGTCTATAAATAATGGTAGATATAAAGCTATTAAAGAAATTCTGAATGACATAAGCAACGTACACACATGTGCGCGCGCGCGCACACACACACACACACACACACACACACACACACACACACACACACACAAATGCACATGCTCTACACATAGAGTTGTTCCTTGTGATTTGGTCCCAAATGTAGCATTTCACTCCTGACCTCATCCAAAGCATTTATTTCTCTTTTCTGTCTAGTGACTGCTACATTTTTTTCAATTTTTTAATTTTTCTTCTCAGAATTAAAAACTGACTCTTTTTCAGTTATTTGGCTTATGTAAAAACAGTTTTTAATCACTGAAAATCTTATGACATATATATTATAACCATTAGAAATTTCCAAGAACAACCAGGTGATGGGGAGTAGACAAGTTTCTGTCCATTCTAAAGTGAATGATCACCCCCATATATTTTTGGGCGGGTAAATTTAAAATTGCATCCAATAAACTGAATGCACCATGGTTCTACATATACACTAAAAAACTGCAAATATAAGTCTTACAATATAAAACTGCTTCATTGAAATTTTTCCTCATGTCACAGTCTACATGTAGGAGAAAGGAGAAACATGATCCTCTTTATGCTTGGAGACTCAGCTGTCTATGCTATGGGAAGGAGCTGTGTTTACAAAGAAAAATGATTCTTCTTTATTATATATGCTACTGAATCCACTAATGGGCAAATCGAAGAAAGCATTCTCCAGGAGTGAAATGAAAGATCATTCCATATGCCCATCTATTTATATTCTCACCACACCTCTGATCATACTCTACCTTTTGCTGTCTCCAGACCTGTTTTTTGTGCAGGTCAAATTACCTCCCATTTTATATATATATATAAAAATTCAACAGCTGATTCAACAGCTCAACTATTATTAGCTTCCTCTTTAACACCATCTTCTCTAACACAACACAAAGGCAATTTTTAACTGATCTTATTACTTACATAAAAAAAATGTGCATAGGTTGATATGCATCGTGAAGAAACATGCGCCTTTATTTCATATGCATGGATATACCTGCCAAAGGATTTCATATTATTGCTTACTTGGTTCAGTGTTTTTTTAAAATAATAATAATAGTAACTATGCTCATGTTTAAGCAGTAAATCTTAAGAAACTGATGGGCATAGCCAGAGTTCAAGGATTTGAAGTATTTTTATTGTGTTTTAATTTTAACAAGAAGTTATGATTTGATTTACATTCAGTTGTCCACAACTTTCTAGTGTTCAGTGTTTCCATAGCTCCACATACCCTTCTGCATCTATTTAGCTAAAGTAGTTGATGATTTACGAAGTGCTTATGTGCTAAAAAATATATCAAAGAACTTCAAAACTTACATTTAGTCCTCCAAAACCTCCCATTTTGTAAATCCAACATCCAGCTCAGTGACTTCAACACACTCAGCAAAACAGTAGACATCTATGCATCATCAGAGGCAGAACCCTCCCTAGTAATAATGATTAAAAGTTACTTCTATTTAATCAGAAAACTATAAAATTATTGAGCATTAATATATATGGTCCATATTTGATCTGTCTTATAAGCATTTTTCTTTTAATTCATCAAATAAGTTACCAGGATTTAGAGACCCTGATAATGGAACCCACATATTTCCATCTCAGAAAATTCCAGAAATTGAAATCCATGTATATATATATTTTTTTTTGGTTTTTCAAGACAGGGTTTCTCTGTGTAGCTTTGCGCCTTTCCTGGGACTCACTTGGTAGTCCAGGCTGGCCTCAAACTCACAGAGATCCACCTGCCTCTGCCTCCCGAGTGCTGGGATTAAAGGCGTGTGCCACCATCGCCCGGCAATCCATGTATATTTTAATGCAAGGCTGATATTCCTTTCTGTTCTTTTTATCCTACTATATTTGCTCATTTGACTGCTTTGCATAATTTTTGGAGTGAAGAAGAAAAATGTGTCTTGCAAAAGCTTACACATCTTATCTGTGAACACTTCCTAAAGCAAGTCCATCCAGCCCTCCTGTTTTGGCCTCTGTACTCATCACAAACGCAGCCAGTTTTTTTTTTTTTTTTCAAGAGATTAAGTGTCTGCAGGACTAAAGCATGAACAACTCCTTGTCTTGAATAAGATTGTTCATTCACAAGGTCTAAGTGAATTTGATCTGTTACTCTTCACCCTCTGGGGCTTTAGGACTTAGGACTGCAAAGGCAGAGTGGGGTCCATGGGGTCCACTTTTTCTTATAACACTGGAATGAGCTGGCATTGATTGATCCAGTTCATCTATTTCCTATGTAGTGATCTATACACGTAGTGGTAATTATTTATTATCAGAGCAGGAGAACGGACCCTTTCTGGCACATTTTACCACTTTTTTCGCTATACCTTTTAGGGTGTTGGGGCACTGAGAGGTTTTTCTAAACTCTATGCATGACAAACAGAAGACGAGGACAATCAAAGAAAGGTCAACTTTTCCCTGAAGAACTGTATGCAAGCTGGACTTGAACTTGGCTTCTCTGGTTCTGTACACATGAGTTTGCCAAGGCTACCCACCAATTGTATCGCAGGAGAGCTAGCCTCGGTTGGAGAGATTGGAAGCCCACCATCAAGGTTTCTGAGGATTGTTGGCTTTTTCTGAGCCTTCTCTTCTCAACTCTTTTCACTCTGAACTCACATGACCTTTCCTCTGTGTGTGTGTGCCACCCCAAGTCCCTGGCATGCCAGTCTTCTGAGAATACCACTCTTACGACCACATTTATGCTGTGTCTCTGGAAATACCCTTTCTCTAAACACAGTAACGCTGGCACCAGAACTTCAACTGATGAATCTGAAGATAACACAGATCAGTCAGAAACAGTGCCAGTTACACACAGAGACATCTACGTGGGATAAAGAGGGAGAATGTCAAGTGCAGTTCGCTGGGGAATGGGCTAAATGAAGCATGAGATCCAAATCCTAAGTCTGACACTTGTCTGTTGTGCTAATAGTGTCCATTTCCTTAGCCTCAGGGCTTTCCTTTTAACCCGAGAGTATACTGATGCCTGGCTCCTATGTTGCCCATCAACCTCTTTAAGTTTTTCTAAAATTATTAATAGCACTATTCGTGATACAAAATAACAGGCTTCCTCATAACATTTTCTTCATGTACATTATGTACTTTGCTCATATTTACATGCATTACCCTCTCTTGTCCCCTCCATCTATTGATCCTTTTCCTCTCACCAAAGAGTAAAACAGTACACTTTCTATTTTGCACACACACACACACACACACACACACACACACACACACACACACACTTTAAATAGAGACTCTACATGCAAGAGAATATGTAAGCCATTTGTCCTTCTGAGAGGTTTATTTCACTTAGCATAATGATATCTGCAAATGACATAATGGCATTCTTTATAACCGAATAAGACTCCCTGGTTTACACATTTTCTTTATGTGTTTGTCTGTTGGTGGGTGGATTCCACTGCTTGTCTACTGTGCCTTATTCAGCAATAGACAGGGGTGTTCAGATGGCTCTGGCTGGGTGTCTTAGAGACCTCTGGGGATCTTCCCAGACTTGGTGGAGCTGGATTCCATTTGTTCACTGCTTTATATCCATTTAGGTGATGAGTGCGAGTGAGAAGTGGCTATTGAAAGTTTGTCTGAAGGAGGCTTCTCTTTCATCCCTAGATTGAACGTTATAGAGATACACGTGAGAATAAAATTAAAGATAAGGAAATACAATACTTTACCAACTATAGAAGATACCACTTTTCTTAATCGTAATATTTTTAATTTTATGTAATTGTGATATGCATCAGTCCAACTCAGAAAAAAACACTTTGGATTCCTAAATATGAACAGTAATTCATTGTTTGGACAAATTTTTTATGGAGTGCTTGTGTGCAGCCCATTGACCACAGTGCTGTGGAGTTAGATATGGCATGCATGTCTTGGAAAATGTGTATTCTAGGTTTGATAACATTTTGCCCTCACATTTAAACATTGCAAGAGCTGGGAGAAATAAGACCCATTGATAAAATAACATAAAGTCGCCCTTATTATTAAGTTGCCATCACTTGTTTTCCTGTGCCCAGGGCATGCAGGGAACACCACTCACACCAGGGTCTCTTGGATGGGCTTCTTTAGCGCTGCACAGAGACTAAGCTTTGGACTTCGGATGCCGCCGGGGGCTGGCTGGCCGCCCTGCCCAGCCCCGCCCTGCCGGCTGCTGGGCGCGTGGCACAGAGGGAGTGGGGCAGCTGAGTCCCCATCGCCAGCCGCCACCGCGCCAGGTATACCAGATAGGCTCAGTTCGCACAGGCACAGGCTTTGACTGGGCACAGCCCCAGCGACCTGGAGCCTCGGGTCCTTCCTTGGCGTCCCGCAGGTCTCGCGTCCCAGTGCGGGTGTCTCCGGAGCTCGAGTGGCTGTAGCTTAGGCTGGGCGGCTCCTGAGGCACCTGTTTGACAGCCTTGCACTAAATCAGAGAGCAAGCAACACCCGCCAGGAGCCCCACGCACGTCACTCGCAGCTCCAGCGGATTAGAACTCGCTTCCTTGCTCCTCTCTGCAGTCCCATTTCAAGCTAACTCTGGCTTTAAGAAAAAGCTGAGTGGGCCCAGTCTCTGCAGCGCTTTCTTCTGCAAGATGGTAAGTGAGGAGCTGGCCTTAGCTAGTCCCGCTGCCAGAACCCCGGGGGTCCTGGAAAGACAATAAACTGCATTTAGAATGTATTCTGCCTTGGGAGATGCCTTGGTACTTTCCAGTTAATATGGGCCATTTCTGCTGCCCCGCACCCCTTTATTATTTTCTGCTCCTTTTCCCTGCATATTTGCCGGCCAGCCCCACCCCTTCCCCCTCACCCTGCACAGACCTTCTTTCCTTCCACCTGTTCCTCTAGATTATGCACATATTTGCAAACACTTAGATTTGAAATCCTCAGGAGTGTTCGGGGTTTGTTTTCCTCTCAGGTGTCGATTGCTTAATAGCTTAGCTCTGATTCCAAGAATAACCTCAAAAAAAAAGAAGGAGTCTACAAACATACTTTTAGAATAAAGGAAAATAGCACTTGATAAACTTTTGGCTGAATTTCCTCAAGCAGCACTGCCCAAGCTGTTCTTGCCTCAAAGGGGTGCCTTTTCAATCCTTCACTCACTGGCAGCAGGGGCCTAGGGTGACTCAAGTCACTCAATAACTTTTGTTCTTTTATTCTTATGTCTCTCCTCCTCCTCCTCCTCTTCCTCCCCTTCCACTTCTTCCTCTTCTTCTCCACCCTCTTTCTTTACCCTACTCTCTGCCTTCTCGACATTATGTCCGAGAAAGTTCTCAATGCAGCCCCAGGCGTGGAGTGGCCAGAGGAGTTTGCCCAAACCTGGATTCTGCTGCGAGGGATGTTTTTGACTTGATTAAACATTGACACATAATTAAGAACGGGCTGCTGGACAGCTTAAGCTAGGAAGGAGGCAGACTGCCCGCCCCTGCTTGGACATTTGGAAAGGCCACATTTGAGATTTTGAGGAGTAAGTGGGGCGGGGCAAGAAGGTGTTCACTGAATCAGAACGCTGTGGAGAAAGGCATGCCAGGCAACTACCGGTGGGTGGCACGGTAACCTGGAAAGGGCATTGAGGGTTTATGATGGAGGGAACTAGAACCCTCCACCTTTATTCTTAGCTTTGAGTGCTTACTTGGATTGATGTCATGCTCCTGTGACTGGAGTTAGGGGCAAAATGTATGTCATCATCTCTGTATACATATATATGCATATACATGTTTATTCATTCTAGTGTAAGACACACATACTCACACACACACACACCTGATTCAGACTCCCAAATTGGTTCCTTGATATGATGCCATGTAGAAATGTTCATTTAACCCTTTGTAGTCTGTGATCTTTGTCTTTCAAGGTTTTTAGAAATGCAACCAAGATATCTACTACAGAGCAACAAGTAGTTCTTACATTTTTGAATCATGAAATCTAATTCTTTTTATTTAATATTTTAGGCAGTTTATCAGTTGAGCCAGGCACTACAATAGGAAATACTCCTCTGATGTTTACAAACCTGTCCCATTCAATACTAGTTATTTGGTGAAAGACTTTAGGAGAGTAGTGGATAATTCAAAGAACCTATCCCTTTTTAGTAATTATAATCACACCATTCAAATATGTATCTGGACCTGTAGTTATCGCTTTTATTGTTTGTTTGCTTTGCCACATACAATAATTTCTCTATGTTTCTCCCACTCTCTCCCCCCTCCTAATTGCCATCATGCCATCTCCCATACCCCCATCAAACTGAAATTCACAGAACACCATTCTGCCTTGCCAAGATCAGTATTTTGTAGGAGGCCAGAGTTATAATTGCCCGTATTCCACTACAACGTCAGAATCTAGTGTTGATGTTTCCAAGGAGACTTGGGTCTCTTTCTGGGCTGCTGGTCTCCTGGACAACGCTGAGACCCAACCAGCACCACAGACACAGGGTAAGTTTTACTCTTCTGCTTTGCCTGGATCTTTTCACAGCCCTGAGACTGTATGCATCAAGGACTGTGACTCTACAGAAAAAGTGATATTATAGAGAATTTAAGACTCCTGGATGTTTTAGCAGGAAAATTAGTTGTTCTGTACACATCAACTAGTACAAATAAAACCCTTCCTCTTTAATGCTTATTTCCTACATTTTGTAATTCTTGGAGATTGCCAACTCATGGAGTAACTTTGGGTCTGTTGCATAGTTTCATAGACAGCAGTCTAGAAGCACATTTCTGGAGTAAAAATATTTGGTGGAGCATTTATTTTGTAGTTTGGTGAGATCCATGTGACTTTAAGAGAAAGAAATTAAGAATGAGTAACAAAGTTTATTTTGTTGTACAAATTCTGTGAACAATACTTCAATACCTGGAAATAACCATTTCCCCCTTCACATATACATTTCAACTTTATTTATTTTTATTTTTATTTATTTAGTTTTTTTTTTTTCAAGACAGGGTTTCTCTGTGTAGCTTTGAGCCTTTCCTGGATCTCATGTTGGAGACCAGGCTGGCCTCGAACTCACAAAGATCTGCCTGGCTCTGCCTCCTGAGTGCTGGGATTAAAGGCGTGCTCCACCACAGCCTGGCTCACTTCAGCTTTAGAGAGATCTCCAAAGTTGGTGTAAACTATACTCAACACTATCACTGGCCTGAAGCTTAATGAATATTTTTACCCCATACTACAGGGATTTCTGCATTAATGCTGATTCCTGTAAAACTTTCAGGTACCGCAGAATTAAACACCTGTGCATCCATTCTGCTCCCCCAAGGTATTTCAGAGACTCTGGGGAGGGGTATGAAAAGATGCTGAAGCAAAAATCAAAATGAATGAACCATATGTCGTGGAGGAAGTTGTTCAGTTTTGCCTTTTTACTATAAGCAAAAGCAGGAGTGGAGTGTCTCAGGATGTGAACCCAAGTTTCATTTTTATTTTCTTACTCATCTTTCCAATTTAATACTAAGTGTTTCAACAACAACATTTTAAGTCGTGCAGGCATGTCAAATGTGAATGAAGCCAAGGTTGGAGAGGGAAAACTTGAGTACATTAGCATGCAGAAACAGTTTTCATTGATGGGGACAGCATGCTGTAAAATATGAAAAACAAACTTCTTTGAAAAAAACATTAAAATATACATATATAGACATTTGACATAGAGTAGGTATGGTATAGCAGTGAAATCACCGTAAAATTCTTCAGAGAAACAAGAAGCATATCACTAAGGTAAATGGGCATAAGGGTTGTGGATTTGACTCAGCCATGGAGTGCTTCAACAGCATGTACACAGTCCTAGTTTTAATGTCCAGCACTAATAAAGAAAGAAATACTGGAAAATGTTATCATACCATGATGTAATATTCTGAACAAATTCTGTCCTTCGCATTTCACCAGTGGGACGAGTGAGAGGAAAATGCAGCATCACAATATAGGATTTTATTATGGAGCCAAATGTAATACTATCAAATGCTAAAAACCAGAAAATAACCTTAACACTAGAAAATGGAAGTAGAATTGTAGGATTGTGCCTGGTGGAAAGGAAGGGCCAGTAAATATTTCCATGAAGTGCTGGTATGGAAGAGACAGCCTTTATTAACTTAACCAGTAAGAATGTACATCCACATTTTGACTTTGGCCACTTTTCTAGTGCATAAATATTTGCTTACTTCCTTCTTCTGAAATAGTTAAAAGTTTTGTTTTCCTGTGTGAAATAAAAGTAATTAAATCTGTTAAACTTTAGAAGGTCTTTGTGAGTATTTATCACACGGTTCTGAACACATTTATTCATCTGTTTTGTATTTTCACATAGAAGCATCCTGTGACTTAAATGTCCCTGTTCTGGACTCATGTTCCTGGGAAGAGGCTCAGCTCTCCTCCCAGCTCTACAGAAATAAGCAGGTATGGATAGGTAGCAAGAACATTGAGACCAGCCTCATTTCAGAAAGCCCACTCACCCCTGAGTCTCCCTTTATTTCATATTGCTTGTTAGTTTTAAACATTTTTTTCTTTTTTATAAATTCACACTAGCTCAGTGCCTGTTGTGACTCTGAAGAGATAAACGTCAAATGAACAAGCTCACAGAAACAAAGGCACTGAGAAAACTTATGAGTGACCTCTCAGTTAACCAAGTTCTTTTTCCTTGTCTGTGGAATATTTCTGCAGCCCTTCTCTGAGGGCTGCTGCAAAGGCCAAGGGATGAATACAGTAGTGTTTTAAACAATAAACGTAGCTCATCTTTGAGAGGAAGGATGAGGATAAGGGTTTCCCAAAGATCACTTCTTCCTCCGGGTCTCATTTGTGGTTGTTCCCAACTAGCAGTTTTATTTATTGGACACATAGTCTGACCTACCTTGAGGCTGGGAACTGCCAGGTCATATTTTCTATTTTTATTTTCATAAATGTGCAAGGAAGGAGTCCAGCCAAGCCTTCTAACCATCTTTCCTATATTTAAACAGTTCCGTGAGGCTCACTTTCCTCCCTCCCCACCTGACTCCCTGTGGTTACAATTTTGAAAGTCATCTGATCTCTTCAAACACTTTGTAATGAATGGGCTATGCAGGGCGCAAACTGAACAGTCAGGGGGTAGGGAGTGTAGATGTGATTTAAGACTCAGAGGACCAGGGCTCTTTGAAAGTATGTTCAGAAAACAAACAAGAATAATCAAGTTTAAGAAGGTTGGGGAGCAGTGCGTTGTTATTGGGTTACAAAGCCAATAGAGGGGAGCACCCTTTACTATTGTACGCTTCTTGCAGCTCCAGGACACTCTAGTACAGAAGGAGGAAGAACTTGCTAGGCTACATGAAGAGAATAATCACCTCAGACAATACCTGAATTCTACTTTGGTTAAATGTCTGGAAGGAAAGGCCAAGGTATGTAATTATCTGTTTTCTAAGTGCAAGGCAGTAACTTGACAGAGGAAACCACTGCTGACACCCCATGATTAAATACACTAAGTTTACTGAACAAGATGTCTTCATGGGAGTTAGTGGGATGGATAATTTTCCTTAAGGAAATATATAACTTCAACAGGATTTTTATATACCATTTCTCGCAAGTTTCTAGTTTCAGATTTTTAGCTCAACATCACAGAGGGAATTAAGGACAGAAGTTAATCAGAGGAATTGCTAAGACTACTGGGGTTCATAAAGAGTGGAATATTGGAGTAGAAATCAAGTGTAAAAAATATCAGTAATTCTAATGATGTGTTAGATGTTAGCTAAAGTTCTTCCTCGGGGCCTTTGCTATCGTAATTGATAAATGGATGGGCCAAGAGCCTTGGTAAGAACCTCTTTGGGGGCTGTGGGGATGGCTAAGTAAGTACAGTGCTTTATATGCATCCATTAAGAACTGAGTGTGGATCCTGAGGTGTTCACAATAAGCCAGGCATAGCAGCACTCATCTCTGCAATCCCAGCAGATAACAGGGAAAGCAGAAACAAGTAGATCCTTGCATCCCACCGGCCACACAGCATAAGGAGATCAGTGAGAGACCTTTCCTGAAAATATAAGGTGGAGAGAGGGGGGGGAGAGATCTAAATCTGAAATACCTGGGTTCCAGGTGTCTCCCCTGGTGATTACAGATATGCAAGCGCTCTTTCCCCTGCCCTTTTAAGTGAACCCAACAATCAATAGCTCACTTGTAACCTTTTGTTCTTCCTTTCTTTGATTTTTCACATTTCAGTTTGCATTTTCCATCATTCTCATTACTATGTCTAACATCAGTTTTATCTTATTTCTGGACAAAATATGGCATTATTTGATGTAAATTTGATGCTACCTCCTGCTTTTGAGTTCAGAGAGAGTCATTAAATTTGACTACTTTGCAATCCAGTTAGCTTTGACCAATGAAAACACATCCTTATAGTTATTAGCCTGGGATCTTAACATCAGATATCAATCCATAAAAGATCATTGAGTGATATTGAGAACTTTTAATTATGTTGATATTGGTTTTCTAAATTTAGAATAATATAATACATGATATGGGAGTGTTTTGAAAGTTAGTATCATAAACACAGGAGGTAGTGAATAGTATTGAAA